AAATATGATGGATATATGAAAAACAAGAAGAAAAACGTGGTATTAACTGAGATGAAAGAGGACGGCATTAAATATGAGAGTTGCTTTGACTAGAGTAAGGAATTGGAGTTGGCTTTTGAAGAGCCCAAACTTAGAAGCGTTAAGCTCAAAAAACCTGAAAATATAAGGGTTATTTAAAATTATTTTTATTTTATTATTTTGAGAATTTGTATTTTATAAAACATATTTTAAAAATAAAAAATAATAATAATAATAGATATTTTTCTTATTCTCCCTTGTTCTCCAAAACAATAATATCAAAACATTTAAAAAATTTTTTATTTTTTTATTTTTTAAAATAATATTTTTTTTTTTTATTCTCTAAAACATTTTTTGAAAACATGTTATCAAACAGATTTTTTTATTCTTTTGTTCTAAAGAATGAAAATCTGTTTTCAAAATAGGTTGCCAAACAGGCTCATACTCCTCCAGTTTTTATTTGTAAAAAAAATCATACAATTTTAAAAAAATTAGTTAACTATATTAATTATTATATCTAAAAATAAAATAATTAAACTTCAATGTCGTTTATTTATTATATTAATCAATCCTTCATTAGTTATTTCTTATGATTATGAATGATAAATTTATAAGGAATAATTTAAACTTTTACAATAAATACTTATTGAAAAATATGATTTTACCTATATAAAAAAATAAAGCTAAAAGTAATAATTTCTTCTATTTAAACGCAATGTTAAAGTTAGAGTTTTCAAAACTTGACCCTACAAGCCTATGATCCTAATATATGTATATGTGTGTGTGTATATATTTTATTTTTAAAATATAAACACTTAAAATATATTTATAATTCAAAAAATATTCGACACAAGATAAAATCCGGAAAAGTAAATAACTTAAAAATAAAATCAATCCACAACCACACCAAAATCAGTAACAACTCTTAATAATGCAAATATCAAAATAATTAAATATTTGCAGCAACATCAACAACATTTTGTCATTAAGATTATTATCATCTCCCTCAATTTTGATCATTCTCCTTCTTCTTGTTGTTCTTTTTAAGTCAAAAAGGTATTAAGCTTTTCATATATATTATTCACCATCCTTTATTATTAATATAATGTAATTAATTTGTATTTTTATTTAAAATTAAAAAGTAATATTAGGGCATAGCCCTTCTATTTTCAATTCCCATTAAGGCAGACTTTTTTAAACCCAATTATCCTCTTTAACCCCTAATAGGTTAAAAACATTTAAGCTTGTATGCATATATATTATTAAAAAATTTATTAATATCTAATAAATGAATTGGGAGAGAGTCCAAATATGAAAAAAAGAGTAAAAATGTTAAAAAAAAAAAAAAAAAGACAAAGAAAACCCTAACCTTAATTATTTTTTTTAAAAGAAAATCTTTGATATTTTTGACACCGAAGAGCTAATTTAGAGTGAAATATAATCAAATATTTTTTACATCAAAAATGATTGTGATCCTCATCATGATGCTGCTGCTCATATTTGTGTATTATCGTTTTATTTATTTTTAGATAAAACTTGTTTAGTCTTTTTTTTTTTGGAAATTTGAACAATAATTTGATATTTTAATTGATTAATATTTAATTTTTTATTGTTTAATTTTTTTATTTTCATATATTTATTTTAAAGAATTTTTTTGATTGCTCACATATATCTTTCTATTAGAAGAAATCATGTTCTAAACATAGTTAGGCACTAAATGTGAACACCTATCTCAATGGCAATTCAAACCTTAATTCTCAAGGCCAACCTTAAGCCTATGAGCTCAAGAGCTATTATTTTCAAATGATACAGTTTTGGAAAAATGACATTAAAATTCTTTTGAATTATCTAAATGATATTTTGAATCCTTGAAATGCCTTAATTTTCTAAAGTCCCTAAAGACTTTTATGTCATTAAGGAATTAATATAAAAGATTAAATTACCCTTGATTGAAATAAAAATCCCAAGCCTCAGAACATATACTTACGAACTTATGAATTGCTGTTGAATTCTTGCAATTTTAGGAAAAAAAATTATGAATATTAGAATAAAATTTATAAATAGTAATTGATATTTGTAACATTTAAGGAATATTTGAATTTCAAACGTGAACTTATGAATTACTATTGTATTCTTACAAATTTAAGAAGAAAAGTTGTAAATCTTATAACAAAACTTATAAATAGCAATTGATATTTGCAACATTTAAAAAATATCAAGATTTTAAATATGAGCTTGTAAATTGCTCTTGAATTCTTGCTATTTTAAAAAAAAATTGTGAATATTAAAACAAAACCTACGAATCAGGAGCGCGAAGTATCTACTATGAAGGTTGGGATTTTTATTTCAATCAAGGACAATTTAATCTTTTACATTAATTTCTCAATGATAAAAAAGTCCTTAAGGGATTTAAGGAAATTATAGTATTTTAAAATATTAAAATATCATTTACATAATTTAAAAGGGTTTTATTATCATTTTTCTTATAATTTTTGTGTAATCAAACCTTTTAGGCCCAAGTTCAATAAGAAGTAGCCTGTTTGCCCACCTTTAGGTTTGAGTAATGTCATGTTCATTTATATATGAATACAAAGATTATAATAACAACTGTTGCATTTATGATTAATTTCATATTTAGTTTTTTATTAGTCAAAATTTAATTTTTCAAAAATTTATTTGACATCAAAAGTCAATTTAGTAAAAGTTAATTGTTATAACAAATTTTTTTAAACATATTTTTTTTAAAAAATTAGTTTGACAATTTGAAAGTTGTTTGGATTATATATAATAAAAAGTACTTTTGAATGTATAATTATAAAAAATAACATTGATTTATAATGATTATAATTTTTGTTATATAAATGTAATATATTAAAAATATTTAAAAAATATAAAAATTTTAAATAACATAAAATTTGATATGTCAAGGTAAATAAGCAAACTACTTCAACTTTATATCCAGTAACACTATGGACTATTGACTCATTCATTGAATAAATTATTTCTTCAAATTTTAAAAATAATACAATCTACTCCCTACCTTATCCATAATTTTTGGATCTTTTATTCTAATTTTTTGGTTCTTTTCCATAATTTTTGATATCATTTTTTATCATTTTTTAATCAACTGACCACTCAAATTTAACTTTTGTTAATAATAAGAATTAGATTGTATCATTTTAAAAAGTTAAAGGAGAACATTATATTAAAAATAAGTTTATGATCTCAAATGTTCCTAAATCTATAATTTAAAAGTTAATTTGCTCTTTTATCCAAGAAAATATAGTGTTCGGCTTTGCAACTTATTAGACTATAAAATTTATTGTGCTATGATTGTTGAGTTGAATATTTATTAGATTAATAAAATTGATTAGTACTCCAAATATCTGTTGTGAATCTTTGTTGCTCTTGTGATTGAGTATGCTTGAATTTGGTTGTATTTACAATTTTTTTATCTTGGATTTGTTTTAATTATTATGCGAAAAATACCTTCATATTTAGATTGACATTCGTTGACGTGATTAAAATAGTTGTTACAATCACTTTTATTGATTAAATGAAAATAAAAAACAATTATGTAATTTACCAATTTAGGGAGATGGTTGGAGTTTGATTGGTATTTATTTTTTATTCTTTAATTCTTTAATACTTTAAGTGAGATTAACATTAACCTTTATCATTGGTAGATGACTCTTTTGGCTTCTTCCCAAAAAAATCCTACAAATATGATTAATAATTCAGTGTCAGTTTTTTTTTTTTGTTCTCTTTATCTGTATTTGATTTATACTAATAATGTGTATATCTTGATCATTTAATATTACTCCCTTTATCTTAAATTATAAGATATTTTTAGACAAAATCTCACATATCAATAAATCTTATTAAATATACTTAACAATTTTATCTTTTCAAAAAAAAATATAAACTTTTAAAAATACTCATTATTTAATATATTGAAGATAAAAGAGACAGAAATTAATTATAGAGAGAAAAAAAGATAATATTAAAATCATTATATTTAATAAAATCTTAATCTATCTAAAATATTTTATATTTTTAAATGAATAAACTCTTTCAAAAATAATTTATAATTTGAGACAAAGAAAATATTATATACCACCAATTGCTGAGTAACATAGTGACACGCAAACTTTCTTGTGGACGATTTAGTCTCAAATCATTAATACCTATCTCTTTTATTCCCAAAAAAAAAAAATCATATGTCAAAAAAAAGGGAAAAAGAATTTGGCCCTTACACAGGCTACATTTCATCTACTTCACTATAAATAAAAAGCTACCAAATCACTTCAACAACAACCAACGAGTCAAATAAGTAAGCATTTAGTATATTCTTAATTTGGTTTTTTTCACCTGAAACTTAATTAGTTATAACTAATCACGTATAACTAACTAAGCATTTGCTTCTATCTGTATATGTGTATTAGTTTAAGAAATATAAACTTTTTATCATGATCATAGTAGCATATATATGAAATTATTAAAAGATGTATATTTTATATTTAACAATTAATTTAATTTAATAAACATATAAGGTAACCAAATCTATCATTTAGTGCTGAATTTGTAATTTTTTAATATTTTTAATTTTGACCCATTTTTTAAATTTTTTGTCAAAACCTAACTGTTATTAATTAAAAAATTTATATACTTAAAATATTTATTTTTAATTAAATCATGCAGGTTCTTTCTGTATTATTGATTTTATAACAAATTCTCTTTATTAATATTATTAACATATTAAATTCACTTATTTTAATTTGATTAAATAAAAATACATAAAATATAAGATTAAATATATAACTTATTAATTTAATATTTCGAAAATTATTATTCTCTCCATGATAAAAATAAAAATAAATTTTTTTAAAAAAAGCGATCATGTTACAGTTGTGACGAAAGGGTCCGTCTCGCATTTAAACGGCTTCGATCTTTGACACCACATGACCTTCTCTCACTGTAAATCCTCCTCCATCGCCTTGATTGCTGGCTTTCTCTGTTACATTTCTCACTCTTCTCTTTTTCTCTTCATCTTCTTGTCTCACTCTCATTCTCTTCCCCTCAACCTTCCCCCTCAATTCCCGCCAGAATCCGCTGCGATACCTTCATTCTTCTTCGGACCCAGACTTTCTAAGTCCATTCATTCAAACCTTCATAAATATATATAATCTAAATGTATTTTGAAGTATTGGTGCTTGTCACCGTTAATATCGGCAGCTCTTTCCTTCTTTGCTTCCCAGAAAATTTTTCCTCTTTTCAAGTATTCAGAGCACATCAATATCTCTCTGGGTTTTTTTAATACTAATTTAGATCGTTGTGATGCGACTTAGATTTAGTCCTGAACACATTCATAGAAGCTGCATTGCCGACATATTAGTACTTGGGTTATGAGAATTAAGAAGGTATGAGAATTTGCGTGCGTGCTTTGTTATCTGAATAAATTGAGTGCATCGCCTAGTTTATTGGGCTGAGAAAGCATTTTTCTGGTTTTAGAATATTTATGGTCAATAAGTTTTGTGTTATTATTAGCATTTATTTTTGCCCGGAAGAATCCAAAGGTGCAGTTTCTCGGTATTGATTAATCATCACTGAGTTCAAGGATTCTTGAAGTATTTGAGAAGTTAAGGTCTCTTACGTAAGTGGGCGAGTGAATCGAAGTGGCTCTTTCACTGATGGTGCTCCGATGGGCGAAAAAACGGTGATGGGAAATTAAGCAATCGCAGAAGTATCATTGACAACGTGGAAATGCAGCTCAAGATTTTGGGCTCAGGCAAAATTGAAAGGCCTAAGAGATTGATTATAAGGCCCCGAATTAAGGTTTGGATGGTAAGGACAATTACGACTGTAATACTCTGGAGTTGTGTTGTTCAGCTTATGGCACTGTGTGACTTGTGGGCGCCAAGATTGTTGAAGGACATGCCTTGCTATTTTAGCCACACTGATTCATCTCCTCCTTTGAAGATAGATGAAGAGAAGTCTCGAGTTTCAGCCAAAACTGTCCTCCCACCACCCAGAAGTGTAAGAATAGATGAAGACAAGTCTCAAGTTTCAGCCAAGTCTATTCTTCTACCCAGAAGTGTAAGGATTGAGAAAGAGAAGTCTCGCGTTTCAGCCAAGGCTGTGCTTCCGCCCAAAAGTAAGTTTTCTGGGGTTGACTCGTGTTTATCTTTAAGCTATTAACAATGATTTTTGCGAATTGTACAAGAAATGCATGATTTGATTTGTTGCTGGGTCAGCTCTTTTTTCCCTCCCCAGTTTCGCTTCCCAAATAACTTCAATTGTACAGGATATACTCTCTGTTTGTTGATGGTGAATTTAGGATTTTAATGCTAGAGTTCTTACAAAGGAATCAAATCTACTATCTCTTCTTAACAATTAAGCCAGCCCCTTCAGATTTGGCGGTAGTTTTTGCAGCAGCCTCGTTACCCTAAATCGTTTGTCTCGTAAATTGGGTTTTTTTAATGATACGATTTCATACTTAAGGATTCGATGTTTTTCTGCCATGCATGATAGCCATTTGATCCTACATTTTTCCCCTTCTCATCGAAGATTGCACAGTACCCACCTCCCCTGAGAAGCCATGGATTTTCTTTCTTTTTAATTGAACATGGTACTGACTTTGTTGATTCTTGTCATCAGGGATTTATAAGAACAATGGTTATCTTATGGTTTCTTGCAATGGAGGACTCAACCAGATGCGAGCAGCAGTGAGTGCTGACCTTTACCTTCATTGGGACCAGCAAACTTTATCCATGAATTGTCAACTCTAGTCTGTTTCATTTGTTTAAAAACTATAATTTTAATGTTTATTTTTCTTCTGCAGATATGTGACATGGTCACAATTGCCAGATATTTGAATGCAACTCTCATAGTTCCAGAGCTGGATAAAACCTCCTTCTGGGCTGATCCAAGGTTTGCACATTATTCGTTGCTATCTTTAGGATTATCCTGTTTTCCTATTTGGATTGCCCTCATGCATTTTCCATTAATTTTGCAGTGACTTTGAAGACATATTTGATGTAGATCATTTCATTACATCTTTAAGAGATGAGGTTCGGATATTAAAGAAACTACCACCTAGGCTAAAAAAAAATGTTGATGCGAAACGACACTACTCATTGTCACCTGTTAGCTGGTCTAATATATCATACTATGAACATCGGGTAAATTTTCCCCCTCCTTCAGATACATGATTTTATCAGATTCATAGTTCAATTGGGGTTGCATCAAGGTCTGATTCTTCTGAATGTTTGTTACAGATCCTTCCTCTGTTGCTGAAACACAAGGTTGTGCATTTAAACAGAACTGACACTCGACTAGCAAATAATGGACCACCTCCTGAGATTCAAAAGCTGCGATGCCGAGTAAATTTCAATGCTTTGAGGTTTACTCCTCAGATAGAGCTACTTGGTAGAAGGATTGTCAGAATTTTGAGGGAAAAGGGACCTTTCCTTGTACTTCATCTTAGATATGAGATGGACATGTTGGCCTTTTCTGGCTGCACTCAGGGCTGTGACAGCAGTGAGGTGAAGGAACTCACAGAAATGAGGTAATCTGAACTTTCTTTGGGATTCAGCTCAGATCTTTTGACCCAAGAAATAACTCTCGCAACCCTGAGCCAAAGATTTATTCTCGTGGTGCAGTATCTATTTTGTTTCTTTGGTTATCCATCTGATATAATAATGTAAACTTGTGCTTCATAGATATTCTAAGGACTGGTGGAAGGAGAAAGTAATTAATTCTGAACTGAAGAGGAAAGAAGGTTTATGCCCTCTGACACCTGAGGAAACTGCTCTAACATTGACAGCACTAGGTATAGATCACAATTCTCAAATTTATATTGCTGCTGGAGATATATATGGTGGGGAGAGAAGGATGGCAGATTTACGTGCAGCATTTCCTAATCTGGTAAGTTGAAAGAAGCAAAATCATGTCAAAAGTGTATATTTTGTTTTCTAAAACTTTCTCTAACTGCAACAGGTAAAGAAGGAAACTCTACTGGATCCTTCAGATTTGCAATATTTCCAAAACCATACCTCACAAATGGCTGCTCTGGATTACATTGTGTCTCTTGAGAGCGATATATTCATTCCAACTTATGATGGGAACATGGCTAAAGTCGTAGAAGGCCATCGCAGGTGTTGTTATGCTGCCACTTATGCCCGTTTATGCTTGGTCCGTGAAAGATATGTGATTTTTTAATAAACTCTGGATTTACTATCTGCATAAAGTATATAGTAGATTTGAATGTGTTCGGAGTGTTATTTTCATTTTGGCAATTCTCATTTTCATGACTGCATAGCACTAACAAGCCATTCATGACTGTATAATATTCCAACAAACTTTGATTCAAATGTTACTTATTTCATTTTGTGCTTCCCTAATGAACAGGTTCCTAGGATTCAAGAAGACTATACTACTGAGAAGGAAGCTGCTGGTGAACTTAATAGATCAGTACACCACGGGCTCATTAAGCTGGGATGAGTTCTCTGCTATTGTAAAGCAATTTCATGCCTCTCAAATGGGAAGTCCCAGACCAAGAATAGCCATACCAGAAAAACCCAAAGAAGAAGACTACTTTTACGCCAATCCGCACGAATGCTTGCAAATGTTGGATGATGAACCATTGAGGAGCACGTCATAACGTGCCTCTGATTCATTTACATGGTTTCATCCATTGAATGCAGTGGCAATTGGTATATATATATTTTGCTGGAAGAAGGTCCATGGTCCTTTACAAGAAAAAAGGTTTTGGTATAAAAAACTGAGACTGCCTGTTATTCTTCACAGGCATCATTGACATCAGTTAAGGTAACATCTAAATTTCATGCCTTTGAGGGACAGATTTTTGTGTGAAGCCATAGCAAGTGATGTCAAATCTTCACCATGAGTGAAAGGTACAGTGTTTCTATTCATTTATTTCTAATGGCATAAATTTTCTGTTTTTTTTTTATTTATTGTTTACTCTGATGGCAACAAAGTACTCCACTGACTGAGAAGCTTATTATAATAACATGGAAATTTCTTCACCAAATGCACCACCATCAAGAGGGAAGACTTGAAAAATGGGGTCGCCGGGCAGTGTGTGGAATTAAACTAAACTGACATCATAACTTCTTTTAAGAAGCATTGAAAAGAAATAAAAATAATTGAGTAATAATTACAAATTTATAAAAGCATTTATGGACTGTATATTCTTTTTTCTTTTTTTATAATTTATTGTTTTCATCCTTGTTTCTCCTTGCTTAGTACTTCATTTATTAATTTAGTACTTCTTCGTTTTATTTATAAGTCACTCTTAATATATATCACCACAATTAAGAAAAATTTTAAAATTCATTAACTTTTGCAAAATATTCATAAGTTTATAACTTTACCCTCCACTAAATATACATATTTATTTAGTCCTATTTATAAATTACTTCTAACATATTTCACGACAATTAAGAAAAATATTAAAATTCATTAACTGTCTAAATTCTAAAAATTATATTAATTTTTAATTTTACTCCTATTAAATATGGATTATTTAATAATATACTTTCTCTCATCAACATCAACATTTATTGAAAGGTAAAAGGGAAAAATTATGATAAAAAATTAGTGACGTGGTTTATAAACAAGACAAAAAATTTCTTCCCTCTATGCTTTTATAAATAGTATTAGAGAGAATATTTTAATGACATGCTCTTCTCATTTCAAATTATAAGATACTCTTAGTCTTATTTTTAATATTATCCTTCCTATTATGTTTTCTTTCTTTGGCATTTTTTCATAAATAAAGTCTTAAATGAATTTTATTTTTGTTTTGAAATAATAAAATTATAAAGTTTGTTTAATGAATTTTATTAATATGTATAATTTTATTTTAAAGTATTTTATAATTTGATATTAAGATAGTACTTTCTTTTATCAATTTTTAATATTTAATGGGAGTAAGTAAGGAACTCCTGATAAAGAGTTAATAATATATTTTATAAATATAACAAAAAAATATTTTATCAATTTTATGAATAAGAAGCAGTCATTAATGCAAATCTTTCAATTCTCAAACACTCACTATCGTCAAGTCCATTCCTCGTTTGGTGCTGCCCGAGTGGGATTGTTGAAAGTTGAGTTGATTTTTATGGACGACTTGACGTTTTGGCAGCCACGCATTCATTTGGTTGGGCCTCCAATATGAGTTGCCACCATATATCATCCAATACACTACGTAGTGCGCCTATACATGAGAACCATCATTTGACCATCATCTCGAATGATGATCAGACAATTTTTAATATGCTATTGATTTGAACACTCTGGAAAACTTCGTGAGTGTCACCGTCCAATCCAAAAACAAGTGGGAATAGGTATAGTTACTGAGGCCTTATTTGTAGGAAAAAATGAAAGTGTGTGGTTAGAATTGGAATTAGATAATTTTATTTTTTCATATTTGATATAAAAGAATGAAAAATTTAATTTCAATACCAATCTGCAATCTATTTAGATGGAGTTACTCAACATCACCACCTCCTTGTATGAAAAATCAATTTTGAGATTGATTATTTCTAAATCAAATTATCCCTCATTCTCTCTCCGTTGTCTCCCTCCCTCCACCCTCTCCTCAATAGTCTCCATCCCATCTCTCCCCTTTGCCCTCATTTCAGACCAAGCAACATTGACCTCTCCTCTACCATCGTTGGTCTCTCCTCCACCGACATTGCTGCTAGATTTGAAGGGAGAAGGAGGAGATTGAAGATCAGAGAAGGAGGAGAATGATCGACAACATCATCTGCATAATCAGTCTAAACCCGAGCTGTAGTCACTTGAGCCCACCACTGTCGTTGTCTTCGCCGTAATCTGCGTCCTCACCATTCTCTTAATCTTAGTTAAAATCAAAAGGGAAAAAAAAAAAAAAAAGGCGGAGAGGGTGGCGACGAGGTTCCTTGCACATCCATGGACATTCTTTTTTGGGGGAGAAGAGCAACAAGAAGAAGAAAGATGAGGAGGAAAACGATGATGATAACCAGTGGAAGCAACTTCTCTTGCCTAGTCATGGACATTCTTTTTTGGGGGAGAAGGAGAGTGTTCAGATGATGATGAAATAAAATATTAAATTTATGTTTTGAGGGGTATTATAGTATTTTCATAATTTTTGTTTCATTATAAAATAAAAATAAGTATTTTCTATAAATATTACTCCATACCAAATATAATTTTAATTTTTATTCCCACACCCATTCCTACTATCAACCCACCAATCCTAATTTTAACCCCTCTAAATTGAGGCATGTGTATCAAACTGGCTTATTCCTCTAGTGTTTTATATAAATAATTTCTATCAATTTCATTAATATCAATGTAAAAAAAGTAAAGGAATAAAAGTGTATAGAATTCTTAACATGTCACCACATAATAAATTCAAAAAGTAATGTCATATTATTTTTTTTATAAAAAATAATTTTAAAAGTACTTTTTAAATATTACTTAAAAAATTATACCATAATTTATAAATAAAATTAAATACATATTTAAAAATGTGCTTTATAAATGAGAGATAAGGAAATATGTGTTTTATCCTGTTATCCAACGACCTAACTTTGGCAATTCCTTGAATTCATGAATTGACTTTTCATCATTTAATATTTTTAAATTCTGATTCAAATCCAGCATATGTCAAAATCCAAGCAAGACGTTGGGAATGGGAAGCCACATTTATGACATCATAAAATTAGTTTCATTAATGTGATGTAGATACTTTGGCAGATCCTATTTATAAATTTGAGAGAGAGTTTTTTTTCATTTTATTTATATTGTCATATTTTTAAATTTTTGTCACAAATTTTTTTATATTTCATTAAATATTAAAAAAAATTATTGTTAAAATATAGGAGTATATATTTAATAGAATAAATTTGAAAATTTGTTAAGTTTTTAAACAAAGTTAATAAATTTTAAATTTTTTTAGTTCAAGTGGTAGAAATAATTTATAAATAGAACTTGCAGGGTACATACTTAAATAATGTAATGACAACAATAACCAAACATGTTTATTTTATTTTATTAGATGGGGTGAACTATATAAATTATATAGTGTCATTATACTTTATTAAAAACTAAATTTTTGGATAAAGTGTTAATCAAAAAATATCTTTCTATAACTTCATTAAGTGTTTTTTTTTTAATCTTCTTCTACCCCTCTTCATGAGATCTAAAAGCGTTTATCACATTTTTTCACTAGGTACTTCCAACAATCTTTTTCATAGATATTCAAACTATTTTAAATGTTTTTTAACCATTTTTGTCTCAATAGATTGATGTCATACCAACTCTTTCTCATATATGATCATTATGAATCTTGTCTTTTCTTATATACTCATATATCGATTTCAATATTTTCATCTTTGATACTCTAATTTTATATTCTTATTGTTTTTTTAAATCTAATATTTATTATCATATAATATAATTGATCTTATGACAATGCGATAGAATTTCTCATTAAACTTATTAGACACTTAAATAGTGGTTTTAAAAATTTTACTGCACATATTAAAATAAAATGATTTAGCAACAAATATGTGAAAATAACAAATTTGATAGGTAAGCTTTAGACAAATTATTGCTTAATCTATAATTCCCATTTTTTATAGAACCAATAATTCAAGTAAGTCGGACTTATTCAGGCCAAGCTTAATTCAAGTTGAACTTAAAATATCCTATTTTTTAAAAAAAATTTATAATCAAGCCTAATTTTAACTTTTTTTTTCAGGTTGGCCTATTGAACTTGACTTGAATTACTAGTTCTACATACATATAGAAATCGTAATTTCGACGGTCAAGCTTATTCGAATCAAGCTTAAAATATCTTACTTTTTTAAAAAAGTTTATATAGTCAAACTTAACTTTAACTTTTTTTGATTAGGTTTGGCTTAGCCTGAATTACCGATTCTAATTTTTTATGTAGAATTTTAGAGAGCCATATTATCATTTTAGTCACTTCCCATCTTAAATTACCAAAGATGGTATTTGTGATGGTTAGTTAGGGCATTCACTCGCTTCTTCAATTTCTATTATTTTTATTATTAATTATAATTACAATTCTTTTGATTAAGGCCTTAATCAAGTTATCGTGCAAAAAATTAATTAAAGCCTCAACTATTTTTCAAAAAAATTTAAAGAATTTAAAATATAGTTATATCATTCGTTAATTAATTAATTAATTTGAACTCATGTATTTACCCAACCAATATGCTTGTTCCTTTGTATTGAATAGTCTCAATGTGCCTGTGATCTTTTGTCCTTTCACTCTCTTCTCTAATCCTAATATTGTCCTCCTCGAAAAGCTGAATAGACCTTAACACCCAATTTTTCAGCTGGGTTATTAATAAATGTAAAAAGTGTATTATTTGGACAGAGATGGAGAAAAAAAATTATATTAGCGATTCATATACCGAATTATGAGTCTTGAATTTCAATAAAACTTATAAACATGACACACACACAGACACAAAATTAATGATTAAAATTTTAGTTGAGCCATAATTAAATTAATCATGAATAAGTCATTTCATTAAATTAGTCAAGACATTACTTTAATAGTTTACTACTGGTTCAACTAGTTAAATTAATCTAATTTTCAATACTATATATAGGGTCTTATATATAACCACATGTTCTTCTATAGTTAAGATTAGCCCATAAAGCTAGCTACCTAATAATATTGTTAATTGGTGCCATCTAACAAATGAGAAACTCTTATATGAACTTAATACACCACATCATCAATACTTTATTCAATAAAATTGTATCAATTCAATTCAATAAAATTTTATGTGTTATTATTTTTTATGAATTTATTTTTAGAATAAAATACATATTTTTTAGTAAAAAAATACATATTTAATGTTTCTCTACCATTATTAATAATAAAATTAATTTATATTTATAACAATATGAATGATATATTTT